GAGAAGGCGCCTCGGGCGACTCGACGCGCTCGCTTCGCGGCGTGCGAGTGGCCATGGCTCAAAACCCAATCCAACCACTAAAGATTCTAAAATGGGTGGTGAATTCACCCATCCCCCAAAATGGGATACTGGGATACCAAAACGGTTTTGACCAGCCAAGTCTCGCAGTGTTGGGAAGGTGTTTGGCGTCTGGGAAATGGGGCGAACAAAAAACACCCACCAAAAAGCCAGTGGGTTACCCATCCATTTCTTCCCAACGAGCCTTAAAAAAAAGACCTTATGAGGAAGTTCCGACAAGCCCCAAAGCCCACGGAGGCTCCGTGAAGACTTGGTTGAGGATTGTTCCGAATCCCCAAGCACACAAGGACCCGCTCCTATGAACTTGCTGGTGCGATAGGTCGGGAATGAGGGAATGAACTGCTTTGGTTTACAGGCGTCATTCCCTCATGCCCTACCTATCGCACCAGCAAGTGAAAATTAATTTCTGGGTTTTTCGCTCGGACCGAAGGCAAAAGCCCGAAACCCACAAGACCAATGCCCACATCTCCCAGGCAGGTGAGTAGGTAATGCCTGGCACTCTAAGTCCAGACAACCACCTCTCGGTTTACACATGATGGTTGCTCCTGGTTGCCTCTGGTAACCTGAAGCACTAAAGGTAATCCAGGTTGCAGGAGGTGAAATCCATTTTCGGCTGGCCGGCAACCCTCCCAGTCCAGAGAGTTCGACAGAGCCTTGGGTGTTCGATTCGCCAAGTCAGTCAGTTGATCGTACCCCATAGAGGTTATGACCCACTTATACGTCACCCCAAGTGGAGCGGACCTTGTTGGTGGTAGAACCCAGGTGGCTGACCACTTAACTTGGCCGGCGCCTGCAAGCCGGGAAATCCAGGACAGGCAACCGCAGCTAGGAGGTGAAATCCATCTTGGGAGGGCCTGAAAAACCCCTTCCCTCTAATTGCTCAAGTCCCCTGGACAAAAACAAAGACATCGAGTGAACTCGATTCCCTTTGAAGCCAACAGGGAAGATCACAAGTCTCTTCAATTGAGTCCAGAGCAGGAATCTGCGCCTTTGTATTGGGGGGTAGTCTTTGGAAGCCCTTTTTTGTTGCATCCGACTCGTGGATTCCCTTTCCCACAGCCCTCCAGAGACTTTTCCCTCCATCTCAAGTCCCCTGGAAAAAAGACACATTGTGATAGCTTCCCTTGGTAAAAGGGCACCTAGCTGGGGACCCAGAATCCATAACCAAACCTGAAGCTTCCAATGAGTCCAGCGACTCGGACATGGAAAATCTCCATCGGCCAAGGTGCCGCCGGCAGGGGAAATCACCGGGGACTCCAGCTTGCAGTCCTGTCGCTTTCTCCGCGCTCGCTGCGCGAAGGCACTCGGGAGTTGTGGGTTTTTGAGGCCAAGGCGGGTTCCCTGGAGTGCCGTTGGCTTGGGACGCCAAAAAGGGAAACTAAAATACCCAAATTGGGAGGGAGGGTCCAAATCCGCAAAATAGAAGCAGTTTTCTTTTGAACTGCCAGAAGACCCCCAAAAAGCTACTCAGCTCTCGTAAGACACACCTATGAAAACCCCCCGTACGCTCAAACTACGTCAGCCCCTTCAACTGCCCCGCAAACTGTTCACCCGCAAAAGTCATGGGGTAAAACCAATGGCAATCACGTTTTCTTTCTTTTTCTGGGAAACCTTTGATTCCGAAAATGTTTGCCGTAATCATATAGGCGAACAAGTTGGAACCTCCAAGACATAAATCCGAGGTTGACTTGCATAGGCATCCCTCCGCTCCGGCCAACCGTGAGATCATTGACCTCCGTGCGGAAATGGGCCACAAGGTCCCCGCCGGTTTGGACCAAGGCGAGCTTTCCATTTCAGGCACCAAAGGTGATCAACCCAAGCCGAACGGAAAAGCATCAGAAGGGACCTTGGCTGAAATGGGCTTTGATTTCACCAACCATCTTGCTGGGGCAACTCACCCAGCATTTGGCAGAGTGGTTCCTTCGGGGGTCAGGCAAGTGGGTTGTATATAACTATAACCATGGCTTTTTATGCTACCCACAGTGACCAACCAGTTGTACCCTTGTTTCGAACCTACTCACCAGGCGTGCGGTATATAAATGGACGAAATCCCGCAACTTTGAAACCATGCTTGAAACCATTGTTTGTTAGTATTTCTCCGAAACTCGAATCATTCTAAAAGGTGGTGCGAAATGGATTTTGTCTATGCACTGTAGGTTGAACATCCAAGTACCTGGACCCTCAAAATACCCTTAAAATTGAGATAATTCCGCAACATTCTGGCTTGAAATCGTTGTTTGTTTTGTGGGTAGTTTGAAGGTCCAGGTAGTATTGAAACTGGGATTCTATAGAGTTCAATCCATGTTGTATGGGTATTTGGAGGGTATTCCGGGGGTGAACCCCCCTTTTTGCATGGGTAGTTGGAGGGGTGACATCCATGTTGTATGGGTAGAATGGGGATGAACAATCCATTTTTTATAGGTACTCGGTTGCTTTTTCTGCTCCCCTGCTAAAAGCTTAACTTGGAAAGTTTTAAAAAAAGTTCAAGACATCCAAGCAAAATGCACCAAAGCTGTATAGGTATTTGGAGGCTCCAGCTCGGTTCTTCCCCCAAACCACCCCCCGGTTAAACACCCCCAGCCGCCCTTTGCTTGCGCCACCAGCCGCGTGCCTCGGGTCTCACGCGGCCCTCCAGGGCGAAGCTGCCGGCGGGGGCTGGCCCGAAGCCGGCCCGGAGCCTCTGAGTGCGGGGGGTTTGCTTCTCCGATTTTCTCCAGTGAACTCGCTTCCCTTTTTTCGCCAACAGGGGCAAATCACACAAATATCCAGAACCAAACCGGAAGCTTCCAACGAGCAATAGCACAAATGAAAACTGTCTCCCAACAACAACCATGTAAAAATGGACCAAATCAGGAAAACCAAAAGGTAAACAGGTCGATTCGCTTTGGGCAAATTGACTATGGATTCGCCTGTCAATCAACCTAAGGAGATTCCTCTAAAAGGGGGTTGTCTTTTTATTGGAGAACCGTCTTTTGGTTGGTTTTAAAGGGAATCCACAAGGAACATCACTCTGTTCTTCTTTCTTCTTTCTTCTTTCTTCTTCTTTTTAGGCGGGGGGGTCCAATAAAGACAAACTACACCCAAGCATCTCGGGGTTTCGTTGGTTCCAAGTGCTAGACTCCCAGCGGCTCTGCGCCAGCCGCTCCTTTTTTGCCTCGGGCGGTGGTCTGAACGGCCAAAGAGAACTCGGCCACGCCCTCGGTGCCCCGAAGGAATCGAAGGCGCAGAGCCACGATCAAGGGCACCCGCCTGAAATTACAGGGTCTACCTGGAGTCTCCTTACCCTTGAAAAATGGGTCAATGACACCCCATTATTTTGGGTAATTGGATGTTCAAGTTACCTGGAGTCTCCTTCTGACCTTTAAGAAATGGTTGGTCATTACCCAAAATAATGGGGTCATTGACCCATTTTTAATGGAGACTCCAGGTAGATACTGATTCCTGGTCCATTCTTTTCAACCATCGTGCTTTTGAGAAAAAATGGAGCTGTTTTCCTTGGGGTTCTGATGGCTTTCGGGAAAGGTTGCTTTCTACTCCCATGCTAAAAGTGAATAACTTTTAGTGGTTTAATGGAAAACCCATTAGTTGGCAAGAAGTGAAAGTCCGAACATCCAAGCAAAATGCACCCACCTATACTAGGTCCTCCAGTAGAGAGGTTAGGGTTCAGGGTACCAACTTTTTTCTGGCTTGTCTAGTTTAGGGGAACTACAGGAATGACACCTTGCACATATCGGGAACCACACACGAATTCACTGCTGCAGTGCTGCAGGAATTTGTCTATCAACAGAATGTCTTATTCTGCCCAAACGCTTCTGATTGATTTAGGGCCCTCAAACAGCCAGGTTTCGAGACTCCCAAACACCTCGGGCTGTCCAATGGGGGTCTGGGTCTTCCGTTGAAGCCCAAGGAGCCTCTGGGTAGGAATAAAAGAACGAATGGGGCCAAAGTGAAGGATCTAGACTGGGACACTACCAGGTTGCAAAAATCGCTTCGCAGGCACGGATGAAACGTGACGATGCAGCCCTCAACTCTGGACAAAACTAAACGCAACAGTTGGTCGGTGGCTCGTAGCAAAACTCATAGGGTGTTATTCATCCCAACTGTGCCTTTGGTGGATACTTAAAGGGAATCCTCTGAATCATCTGGTCACGTGATCTTTGGACTGGACATGTGGGGTAGGGAGGGCTGGCCTGGGTGAAACGCGCGCGAATCCCACTCTCCCACGGGTGAGTCACCCAAGACAGGGGAAGGAGCAGACGGCACGGACCGCGGATGCCCTGCTCGTTGCAAGAAGGGAACCGACTGAGTAAGTAGGTTTCAACCACAGTTGTAACTGGGGCAACTGGGGTTGGTTCTCTTATAACATGACCCCTCCAATGCACACCCCTGGGCCCTCCAATGCACAACCCCCGACCCCTAAAGGACCCTGAAACACAGCACAATCAATCGAGACCCTTAAAGCCTTAGGGAACCATGGTCATAACCTACTTACCTGAACATCCAAGAATCTCTTGATTTACGGTAGGAGTAGTTCAAGCCGACCGACCCTTAGCTTAAGCCTCAGCTGATAAACCGCAATTCTAAACTTGTCCCTAAGAAAAACCCGTAGCTTCATCGTTCGACCCTCACAATCTAAACAATGGGTGAGTTGCAACCCGAGACTGTGGTGAATTCCTTTCTTTGTGGTAGTTTGAGGGTCCAGTGTGGTTGGTTTACTTTGCAATGTTTAATCCGGGCATCCACCACATCGTTTACAGACTGCGTATGATCATCGAGGTAGCCTTCGGTCAAGTGTTCTGGCAGACATGCTTTTGTTGTAGGAGGCACAATATGTTTTTGTTTTTTAGTGTTTCTGGTCAATATTGAAGCCCTGCAGTCATATGCAATTCCCTCGAAATCGTCTGGAAAGGACATAAGACTAAGACACGCGGAGGTTTTTCGGGTGCAGGTACCTCGGGATGCATATACAGAGCGCTTTGCAGTCTTGTCTTGCAAATTGACTTGGTGTCTGCTTCAGGCCGCTTCAGGCCTGGCCACGCGGATGCAGAATAAATAATTTAACAGTTGGAATCCACTACCTGGGGCCCGGAACGACCAATTCTTCCAAGTTCACCAAACAGCCTTTTCCTGTCAAACATATTTTATCATCGTGTTGTTTGGGAAACAACCTAACAGAATTGGTTGTTCCGGGCCCCAGGTAAGCAACTGGGATTCCAGCTGAATGTCTTTACAGTTGGAGAAACACACGAGAAAGCTTGGACGCGACGCTCAGATGCTACACATGACTGGCGAGCCGTCCAGATTCTCGTCCTGGCGTGCGCCGAATCTGGAGCCATTCAGAGGCGTCGCTCTTCGACTCGATTCGACATTCAAATCCATTTGAAGTGTCCTTTTTGGTTGATGCGGTCGAAAAATAGATGGCGATTCCTGGTTTACCTGGTACTTCAATCAACTACCAGCGCCATCTATTTTCCCAAAAAGGACACCTATGGCGGGGTGTCTTAACTAGGTCCCCCAGTTGCCAAGAGAGCGTCTAGCTGGATTTGTTGGGGTTTCCCAAAAAGCGAACTCGCTGAAGCAATTCGAACAGCCCAAGGGATTTCACCCTGTCCGCGTGTGATACGTGTCAACCAGGGCCCTCTGACTATCAACTCCGAAGTTGGGAGCCTTGGGGCACTCAGAAAACGACCCTTAGCATGCATAAAACATCCACACTGAAAACCAGTCCTTCCATTTGGTTTGGATTGGTGCTTTGGTCGGTCTAAGGGTTACACTTCGGCCTTTATAACCCTAGCAAAACACCACCTCCATCAAACTACCCAAACAAACAAACAAAAAGCTTGCAGAACTCACCAACCATCATTTTGGGTCTAGCATCTCACCCACCTGGAGTCTTGAGGCTCGGTCCAACCACACCCCACAGGATGAAGCCACGGTGTTGCAACAACCAATGTTCGGTTGGATTTTTGTGGGCTCAGGCACAACTAGTCCTCCAGTAGAGGGTTTTTCTGGTGTGTCTATTTTAGTAGGGTTCAACCCTCCCAACCTAAGAAACGGTGAGAAAGGGCACCAATTGCTGGGGGACCTAGACAATAATTCCCCCGTGGGCTCCCTCGACTCTTTGAACTCAAACATCGACGGCTCCTCGCTGGGGTCTGTGGAGTTGTCCACCTCCGCCTCACGGGGTTGAGAGACTCTCGCGGGAAACCACGGGCGCCTGGCCCAAGGAACGAGCCATAAACCCACCGGACTTTCAATGGAGCAACGTCCAAAGCGTATTTCATCATAGCCTAAACCCACAAGAAAACAACATGAAACCCTACCCTACTGAAACCCTCAAACTACCCCTGAAAAAGATAATTCATGAACCATAAGCTTGGGTTGCAACTCACCAACCATGTTTAATTTGGGTCCAAGTAGTTTGTCTTTCTTTGTTTTTGGTTTTAAACATCACCCCCCAAACCAACACACGCAAGCAAGCAACGAAACTCAGCTTCCCTCTACATGGTGACTGGTGGTTCAAAGGTTAGGGGTGTTTTCCTGCCTCCACGGAACAGGACGAGGGCTGGTTGCACACCACCCAGGCTGCCAGCATTAGCAGCACAATGTGCATAGCCTCGATGTCGCAAAGGAGACAACCTCCAAAATGTCCCCCTGGACTCTCAAAATATCCAAATAGATTATTGCCCCAAAATGATACAATTGGTTATTGCCCCAAAAGTATGGGCCTGGAACCTGAAAATACCCTGCATGGCCACTTGGATGCTGCCCCACAATAATGGGGGTGAGTTCCCCCTTGTTAAGGTTAGTTCGCCGGCCCAGCACGAAATCTAGGGAGAAAATCCATGGCAATTCATCGGCACCAGTTGGGAAGCATGACACCCTATTGGATACACTAACCTACTCGCGGTTGTTGCGTAGGCGTTTTGAATGCCTGACACGAGTCTCACTACTCCAAGGCTGTGCTCAAATGAGTGAAACTTCTGCCATGTGCAAAGTCTGGCTCAGCTGCTTGATTCAATACACGGTCAGCTTCTTTGCAACACATGGTTTTCCTTTTTTTGTGTTTCGTTTTTGGGGCTCAACCCAATGAAACAACCGGGGCCCTTTTGGGTTGCTTCGAGGTGCCCCACTGAAAGCCCCAAGCGATCGATGCGTTTCAAACGCATCTGGGATCCAGGCGATGATGGTCAGGAAGGGCGCCGCCTCCGCCAACTTATTGACCAATGCCTCGTCCTGGTGAGGAAACCCCGGTCCGGCAAGCCGGCCATCTCCCTGGATCGCCAGTTCCTGCTTTTTTCCATCCACTTTACCCCCAAAAACAGCAACAGTGAGTGAACAAAAACAGCAATTTGGCTATCCATCTCAGGAGATTTTGATGCGTTTTGGTTTCCGTTTCGGCGTGTTGGGCGGTTTTTTACCCTGTTCCAAACGCAAAAAGGCCTCCCTCGTTGCATGGAACCCGAACCAGGGTTCCAGGCTGTCAAATGGGAATCCACCCTAATGAATACGTGTCCCAGGCAAATATCCGAAACAAAATAACCCCTCCAATAGTACTCCCAATACTACACCAATTCTAAACTCGGGGTACTTGCAGCAGGTTCTTCGATTGATTGTAAATCCAAATTGTAAATTTCATCCTTGAATATTGCCATTCAATGTTGAATTGAAAAATCAAAACAACGTGCCTTGGGAATTTCCATTTGAATTTCTTACACGGCTCGGCAGAGTAATTTCCAAAATACCCTCAATCATGGGATATTGCCCCAACCTATGCTTGGTGAATTCGAACTTTCGCTTGGGTCGTTCGAGCGTTCAGGCGCAACGAGCTCCATCATTTTCCAGAATAATCCCAAATCTACAACGTTATTTGGGTCTTTGTTGAACAAAAACAGACCTATGCGATTCGTCGACTCCTCAGATAGGCCAATTTGTTTTGGAGTAAAGGGATGCCAAAAAGGAAACCAAACGGCCAGAGCGATTATGGATGCCCAAGTCTTATGCCGAAGGAAAGGCACCCCCAACCACTAGCATTTTAAGAGTTGTTGACCCTGCCGACAAGGACCAAGTCAACTTGTTATAAGGGGTCTACGTTTGGCACAGCTTCTACATTTGAATTGGGCGTTCTCAGTGATACCCCTCTTCCTTGGGAGTTCCTACCAGGAAGCCCAAGGAAGCCGTCCATTGCATCATGCCCAATGATTCCAACCACTTCTGCGATACAAGGGAGTCCACTCTTTATATGGCGGGCTAGTCTTTGGGAGCCCAAATTCAAGTGGTGATTTCCTACAGCTCTGCTCGAAACCGATTCGACGAATTGTGAATCCTAGGCTTCCTCGAATTCCTGGACTTTCAGCTGGTTGGGTTTGGACCATTTTGGTGGTAAATATGCAAGTTTAGACTTGTTTCACCCCCTTGCTCCCACAACCCTGGTTTCGCCGCTAAGCCTACCTGAACCCTCCAAATTCACCCCCTAAAAATTGGCGATCGCCCCAAAATTATGGTTCCCAGAGGCTCCTGCAGGTTTCAATGGAAGACCTGACCCCTCCATGTGTTTGGGGGTCTCAACACCCGGCTGCTTGAGGGCCCTAAAATAAATCGGGAGCCTCTGGTGAAATCGTTCTAAGTTGGTCGCTTTTTCGAGTCCAGGGAGGTCTCACAATGCCCCGAGTCGTGAAACTCAATGTAGGGCAACTTTGATAGATGTGTACATGGTATGAATCATCTTCCAACAGACAGAAAAAAAAATATTAAAAAAAGCGCCAAAGGAACACCAAGTCTGTCCCGCATGAGGTAGGTCGCCGCGTTGCCCGCCGAGCCCACCACGTCGAAGAAGGTCACGCCGAAGGAGTAGCCCTCGATGGACATGCCTTCGCTCCGGTCGAGGGCGGACCCCAGCCCCACCCGAAAGAGCTACCCAACAAGTCCACTTTGAGGGTTCAGCTACCCCCTACTCCAAATACCCACTGTTTTGTAATGGTGAGTTTTTTTGAATACCTGGGTTTCCGTGGTAAATACCTCCTTTTTTAGTAGAGGGTCAGCATAATTTTCTTGGTTGACGGTGGAAGGGGAGCACAAAAATAAATGTTTGCATTAAGTGGTTGGATTTCAACCACTAAACCACAATGAGCAAGCATGTAAAATATTTCCCAACACCAACCATGTTTTGGGGCAACTTGGAGGGTTCAGGTAGAACAAAATAAATTCACCACAAGTTTTGGCTGAAACCTATGTTTAAGTGAGTTGTGTTGTGTCAGGTATCCATAAAACAGGGGGATTCACCAACATAAATTTGGGGCTATAACCGATGTTTAAGATAAACAAATGAGGGTCCAGGTAGAAATCACGTTGGACCGCAAAGTTTAAAGTCCGAGTTTTCGGTGGCCCAGTTCACCTTGAGGAACCTTAATGGACCAAACTTCGAAAGGCACAGGTCAGAAGCTTTGGGCAGAGCACACCCAGTTTGTGCAGGGTATGTCAACTCTGTACTAAAAACGGAGATAGGTAGTTGCCTTGCAAGACCTGGCTTTCCAAAAAAACAACATAACAAAAGTGGGTATTTGAATAGGGGGTGTTCCCTCCAGAAAAGGAATCCCCACTGAAAGGTTGATTAATCCGGGGTTCCCATTACTCCATTGTCACGATTATTGAGGGTCCCAGCGATTCAAATGTTCCATGGTTTTGTAGGTAGTGCAAAGAGCCGCCCTCCAGAAACCAAAGGGAAAACTGACCGTTGCCTACTATAGCTCCATTTGCTTAAATCCCAAGACAAAGATAAACATATTTCCAGTAGTGATAGATTCCCTTTAAAGCCAACAGGGGAAATAAATAAAACATATTCTTGACTAAATGGAAGTGCTGGTTCCCTAGAGTTGCCCCTAGCTGAACTCACCTTCTGGATCGGATTCATGGTTGCAACTCCAAAGGTGATTCGGATCTCCACCCCAAAATCGGGCTGCCAATCAAAATCAAGCAGCTTCAGGCTTCGTTCGGGTTGCCCCTGTGGGTGCTTCTCCTAAAACAGGTTTCCATTCAATTACTTTCCTTTCAACTAACCAACAATCCCATTTCTTCCCCCTTATGAATCAACCAGGTCTGCTTTTTCAACTCGAACTGAAGGAATCACAGGCTCGGAGGAACAGCGAGCGGCGAGAAAATCTGACTCCCAGCCGCTACTAATGAACTCGTAGAACTCGGGGATAAAGCCTCAGCACTTCCGGCCGTCCAGAAACCCAATGGGTGGGTCATGACAACCCCCTCCCAAAAAAACAAGTATGGTGAGTTTCCTCGTGGCTTCCCTTCAAAACCATTCAATCGGATCCCAGTTAATTACCCATACTGCCATATGGTAACCGGCCATGTTCCTTTCTGTGTCTAGGTGGGAACCCCCTTCTTGCCTCCCAATGCTTCCAATCATTAGAGTACATAACCTGTGAAAACCATCATGCAAACCTAGAGGCACAATAGCAGGCTACCTTCTATAGTGGTTCATGCAAGCGCTGGGTTCTATCCCCCAGCGGATCCTAGTTACCTCTGTAGTAAGCAACCAACTATTCTTCTTGGGCTGTAAAGCTCGGTTCCCTTGGGTAGCTACTGTATGTACAGGTAAATGGAATTTTCTGCATACTATACACGTAAATGTTCACTTACCAAGCTTGCAACCGAGGGGATTGCAAAACACAGCCTGTGGACTTCCTCTGTAAATGAGATAGGCTGCGGGGATAGGTTGGCCGATGACCCTGGTAAAACAGGGACCCCTTTTTGGAGTTAGCCAGAAGTGGGGAGCCCACGAGAAAGGTTGCCACAAAGGCCACCCGATTACGATATGCGGGGGCGTATAACCATGGCTTTGGTGGTGAAAAGCTGGATTTGAACTAAATGAATGGGGAAATCAGCTGGAAAGGGCATCAGAATCAGCTGGAAAGGCTAAAAGCCTTTCTTATGGGGAAAAGCTGCACAGTTTCATTCCAACACCTCAAATAAGAAATGGATCCCCTAAATAAAGGACCTCCCTTCTGAACTTCTGAATTTCCCCCCTCCCACAAATCGGTGGAACCGCCATGACGTAGGCAGGTCCGCACTCCTATTCTGTGGTTACTCTGGAATTTTGAGATAAACCCAGGGTTGGGGCAAGTACTCCTAAGGGAAACCCCTGCGTTTAATGTGCTTTGGTGGCACTCATTGTTGTATTGATTCCAGCAGGGATAGGCTCCCGTTAAAACCAGCAGGATCAAAACACAAAAAAGTCCTTAAGAAAAAAAACAAGCATAATTTTGGGCACAGTAACTGGGATCCACCTGGTTGTTCTAGAAACCGGTTTGGATGTGGCGAAGCTGTGGATCCACGCCTGTAGGATAAATAAATTCCAGGAGTATATATATATATATATATATATATTATAATATGTACGAAAAGAGTACCAACAAAGAGCCGTGGATCCACCCCTGCAGGATAAATAAATTCCAACAGTGGCTATAAAAGAGTACCAAAAAGAGGACCAACAGGGGGAAAGAACACCGGTTTCTCGAGTTGTGGCAGTTTCGCTTTGGCAAGCCGCCGAGTGCGATTAAAACGCTGGGCACCAGCTCCCCCAGGATGAAATCCACCTCCTCAGACGATGCCTTGAAGAAGTAGTAGCACCCGGCCTGCGGTCGGAACGCTTCGAACCAAGGCCGGTAAAACTTGCCCGGAAAAAGCAGCAGAACTTGGATTCTTGTCCATGGGGGTTGATAAGGTTCGGTAAACGTGGGATGCCAATTCATTCGGGCATTCGCTACCAAAATCAATTGAATTGTTTCAACCACTAAATGGAAACAGCTCATGATCATGGGGCCGGGAATACTGATCAAACCCCATAACCTGAACCCATCATATGAACCCCTGGTTCATCTTCCTTAGTGGCTTAATCATGGGGCCCAGCCCCCAAACCGTTCAGGGTGGCCACGGGCCCCTCTACGCCCTCAACCTTTGGATGTTCAACCTGCTTAGGTTGCCGTGGATTATGGACACCAACCCCAGTCCTAAGAACCGTGGTGGTAACCTGCTTACTGAGTGGAACCCCACGTCCTTCGTAAAAGGGATCCTCTGTTCAAGAGCCCAGTGTCTTTGTTTGGGCCCAGTTTGGCCGTTTTGAGGGCCCGAGATGCTTTCCTCTAGAGACACCAGTCTGGGCAAATTACATATGTGACCAATTGGGAATTTGGGACCTCTATATGAAAGGAACCTTCACTACGGGCTTGTGACGCGGCTTGCTTTTACCCAGAATGCAGTGTTGTTGCAGGAGGTAAATCAAGGGTCATGTTCCCCCTGGGTGACCCTGACAATCGCAACCCCTGCTTCTGCGCGCTCAGGGTGCTTCCCTCAAACTAGGCACTTCGATCTGATTCTTTTGTCGGTAGAGCTTGGGGCTGACTCAAATGGAAACCAAAGGAAACCATCCAGTTTGGGAGTTCCACTACTTGGACCATTGACAATTCTGTGAAATGTCACGTTGCGCGGTTAAATTCCTCGATGTATTTCCGGAAAAGCCCTAGTCGGTGAGGCAGACGTGCTACCGCAAAGCACCTCCCTTCAACATCAAGACTTGTGCAACGTGCAACCTCTGAAGTTAACAAAGACAGTGCAAACATGGGCCAGGTGGCTAACCACTTATGCCGACTCCTTAGGCCACCGAAATGTTTGGCGGTGTTTGACACTGGGCGTGGCCTTTCTTGGGAGGGTAATGCCCCTTGTTTGGGCCGTTGAAGTGAAACTCAGGTTGGAAAACCCAGCCATTTTGGGGCTCCAAATCCCAAGAAAAGACACACCCACCTGTTTTTGAGGTCCGGATCCTTAACAAAAGACATGAACTCACCCATCGTTTTAAGGTCCAAATCCTTACAACACACCCAACTGTCCCCAGGGCCCCCTTATACCCCTTGGGATCGACCCCACTTCGAGCCACTTTCCGGGCGCCCGGCGCAGGCCAAGCAGGACATGGCGGTGAGGGCCACATACCACGCACCTCAACCGCCAAGCCCCAGACTTGGTGTGTGGAAACCAGCGGGAAATTCTGCAGCGGATTTACAACTAGGTCCTCCAGTAGAGAGGTTAGAACAAGGGTACCCTTTGTACCCTTTCTTCTGGTTTGTCTATTTTAGTAGGGGAACCCTCCCTCAAAAAAGAAACGGTAAAAGGGCACTACTGGGAGACCTACAACTACCCACCCAAAACCAGTTCATGTCCCACACTTCCCGGTTGCTTTGACAACGTCAGTAGAACATTAGCGGTTTCAATTTTGACAGTTTGTTCAGGTGGTCCCTGGATTTTGCACCTGGAGCATTCCTAGCGGCGGTGGGTAAAGGATATGAGGTAGAAAGAAGGAAAGGGAAAGCGATTCATCTCTCTCCACCATTGTCCAGGTACGGTTAATAGGTGATACGACGTGAGGAAGTGCTACTTGCCTTCTTGCCTTGTCTAGATGACTCAAGGCATGTAAACTCTAGAAATATTATCAAGATAAATGTAAAGTGAAAACCAAATACAGGTGAAAGCCCTACAGAAATAAGAACTGCAGAAATCCAATAATAAAGAATCTGGACTGGATTTCAGATTTGGAGTTCTATTTAATTTCCTTTCCTCTTTTCCTTTTCTTCCATCATCCCCAACCTCGTCCATGAAGAGGAAAAGAAGGGGATGATGAAAAGAGGAGGAACATATAAGGAAAAGAGAGAACAGGGGAAGGGACTTATCTCTGCACACCGCTCCCTCGCTTCTCTCTACCACATCCTTCATCTCACCTAACATCCTAGATTGGTGAGGGGGCAAAGACCCCATGTTTTCGGGTCAGAGGGAGACTCCCAGTTGATCTTTGAGCTAAAACCCCTCCCAAAAAAAGCACACTGGAGCCAGCCAAGAACTCCACAACCATCTCGCCGAAGCCTCCTCACTCGCCCCAAACCGTTTGGAGCCCCTCCCCCCCGCACCCCGGCAGCAATGTCCCAATCCGGCCGGAGCCAAGGGTTTTCTCACACTCCCAGAGCTGTTTCTTGGCAAAAAACATCTGGGGTACACTGAAGCAAATCTGATGTGAACGAATCAAGAAATGTGGGGTCTCGTGAGCTCCACAATTCAGGTGGACAACATATATAGCCAACCTTGATCCATGGACAATTTTCTGCTGAGACTCTCTGTTCGTCCTCAAAGGGCAGATCAGCTCGTAGGTCCACAACCCGGGGGCGAACGGTTCAGGTGCGGCAAGTGGTGAGATGCACAATGATGAGGGCTGCGATGCAACCATGGTTTGGGGGGGGGTGGGGAGGTGCTCTCACCAATACCTGAACCCTCAAACTACCCTTGAAAATTGGATTTCACCCTGACCCGAGAACGGGACACCCCTAGGAAACGGGCCGGCCTACCACCACGGCTTTTGGGAGAAGCGAGACTTCAACCAAATGCAGTCCGCTATGAGCACGCCCAGGAAATCCTAAAGTTTATTTGACCTAATGTTGACCCCGTATTCATCAACCAACCAGTTTATTAATAGGGAGTGTCCATTTCTGGGTTTAGTGGTTGACATCATCACTATTGGAGAGCCAAAACCACCCCCCTTATTAATAAGCTGGTTGGTTGATTCATATGGGGTCAACATTACCTGGAGTCTCCTTCTGACCCCAATTAATAAAGGGGTCATGACTCTCATGACCCATTTCTTAATTTTGGGTAATGACCAACCATGCTTAAAGTGTCAGAAGGAGACTCTGGGTACATGGTCTTCCGATAGGTCTTCTTTTTAGGGGAAATAGATGGATATCCATGGTAGATGATTGACCAGGTAAACCGAGTGGAATCGCCCTCGATTTTTCGAGCAAAACCACCAACAAATGGACACCTATGGGTCTTCCGCTCCGAGTCCCTATCCGCTTCCCATCGCCGCCGCTACTGGCCGCGGCGCTCATCAAGGTCCGACGGCGCCAGCCCTTCTCCACCCGCCGGAAGAAGAACATCTGCACCTCGCAGATGCCGCCTCGGTCTCTCGGTCTCTCGGTCTTCGCTCGCTTTGCATCGCCGCGCGAAGCGAGTTCTTGGACCCGAAAAACCGACCTCAGGTGGGATATAACCATAGGTTTTGTTCGCCGAAGCTCAGAAACAACCGCTGGAACCTTGATAACCTACTTACTGAGTAGGTGGAACATCCAAGCAAACCCGATCGTCGCAAGAACTTGGACCGGAGAACGGCAACCAGGAGCTGTTTACTATCCCAAGGAAGACATAAAGCTGAATTGTTGACTGCCCCCAAGGTAGGCTTACAGATTGACATGCAACCTGAACGACGACCATTTCTAGAGGCCCTCTTTTTAGAGGATCCCCCCCCTTTGGGTTCTGTTGTTACTGTGTAGGTAAAGCACACGGGTTTACTCTTGGATGTCCACAGTAGGACAAAACTCCATCGCCATAAGCCAACTAACCCCAGTTACCAACCAGTTCTAACCTTGGCTATAACCTACTAACTCGGTTGCTTTCTGCTCCTGCTAAAAGTGTAACTGTTAGTGGTTTAATGGAAAACCCATTAGTTGGCAAAAACTTAAAGTCGTAACATCCCTTGGCAAAATGCACCAAAGCCAAGTAGGTTGAACATCCAAGTTCGTCCAAGGAAAAGAACAACTGGGTCCATCTACCAGGCCAATACATAAAGCCCCGACGGATCTGCGGATCTGGAGATACACCACGGAACCTCACAGTCACAGGGAAGGTCCTGCCTGGAAGACCAGTTTCCTTCAATATTCTGCGCCAAAAACATTATTCTGTGACATATATGGCCATGGGTCAAAAGCCCGTACCCGAGAACATCCCAATCCCCACTAAAATAGACTAAAATGGGTGGTGCACCTACCCCAAAATGGTACCATTGGTTTTGACCCACAGCCATATGCCCCTCTTCCAAGTGTGCAACACCCATACCTGAAAGGAATTGGCGGGTATCCAAGGTTAGTACCCCAACAATGAAGCCTTGGTTCCTGTCACTCGGAGCAGCCTAAGTGGCTTCAAAAGGCGAGCTTTCTTTAGGGGTCCCCCCAAACAAAAAACAGTAACCGTAAAAAATGGTCCACCCATGTTTAGGCTTTCCTTTTATCAAACAAAGGCACCCTTAAAAAAAAATACACCCATTTGCACCGTATACGTGGCTGAAACTGCCCTTAAAGTTGGCTGCAACTCATTCCCGGAGTATACCGTAAAGCAACTGAATCTAGATGCCAGACTTGACCAGATGTCCGTTCCCTTTCGTACTAGTTCAATGACTGGGAATACCACACCGGATATTCAGCTCATATGGTGTCTTTTCTGCGGGCACCCTTATTGGGATTGTATTGAATGGAATCCAGAACGAACTTGCATCTTGCTTTATTCGTTTTTTTTGGGGGGTGGAGGGAGGCTCCCAGTTCAACACAAACCCACAGGGTTTCTCAACATGACCCATTTTGGGCGCTGGCTGCGCCACTGGAGCTGTTCCGAAGGCCGAAGGCCCCAAAACGAGATCAAGGGGCGCGTTTTTTTGTTGTTTCCCTTGTTTTTTTCCGGCCCCAAACGCGAGAATTCCGAATCCGAAAATAGTTTACCGTTAAAACCTGCCTGGGTTTTCAAGATACACTGAAAATCTGTTCGTGCCCCAACAATATGAGGTGAAATCCCATGCTCAAGGGTAGTATGAGGGTCTAGGTATACTTCTTTATAACCGTGTTAGTAGAAGCCAAAGTCAATGATGATATGGTCACGTGTATCGCGGGGGGGGGGGGGGGAGGGGTGGGGTCTTGGGGTGGGGTGGAGTCATAAGTGCCGCGCCACGCAATGTGAAGGAAAATACTTTGCGGATTCTAGATGCGGATTTCTGTGTCCCTGTACCCTATCATAGAAAGTTCTTGTCTTGCAGCCGCATAATCATCGCATTGTTCGGTTACAAGTGTTGGAAGGTTTTGTTGGACCCACCATGGCTTGTTTCAACAGAAAGCGGACCGGGGCTGATCAAAGAATCGACATGATTGGTAGCAAGTGTCGTTTGCCAACTATTCAGCTACGCATGGGGACATGTTCTTGGTACAGCTTTGGCTTCTCTTCTTTCGGCTGGTGATCCCTTTTGCTCGCAATCTTAAATCGCTTCGAAAGCACGAAACCTAGGCGAAAAGGACCTTTCCCCCATTTTTCCAGAAAAAAACGAGAGAACCACCAGACCTCCTTCAAGTTAGTTCTTCTGTTTCGTGTGGCCTGCGCGGCACTCGGCGACTACCTGCAGAAAGCAAGGCGGGTGGCCGCGCGGTTACGCGGCGGCAGCGCGTTTGTTTGTGTTTAACCGTAGATTGACAAAATCCGCGAATCGCACGTAGGGTTGTGTCCATCGTGAGTATGATTCTCAGTCTGGAAATTACTAGTGAAAAACTTTCATGGGTGACCTATTTTGTCCAGACGCATGCGTCCAAATCTACCTTCGTCCATGGACCTTCACCATACCTCGATTTGCCTTCTGACAGAAGCAACGGTCCATAGGTGTCCTTTTGGGACATTTATGGCCCTGGTAAATGCTTTAACCAGTGGTTGGTGTTCGACATTGGCCTGAGTCCTATCTCCGTAGTTGCGGGGGTTCCAGCACCTTGCAAAATGCCCTGCCCGGCCACACCAACAAATAAGCACATGTGCTCCGCAGCTATCCGAAGACGCATATATGAAACCTAACAGGCATAACTCTTTGTGGCTGCACCGGGGCCGCAACGTCTGCATGGACGTTTCAGTCGAAATTGACTCAAGGCTTGGCCGCTTCAAGTTGCACGGCTCCCGACGGTCCCGCCATTTGGACGACTGACACATGCCAGTGCCGAGCAGCAGAAGAAGACTTGGGAGAACATGCTGAGCGCCGCAAACCAGGAAGGGTTCTCGTGAGCCAACGTGACCCCAACGAACATGACTCCTTCAGGGCGCCAGAAACATCTCAGTCTGTCTTATAAAAGAAATGATCCCAAAACCAGCCCATGGGGTTCAAACAGGGATCCGGATGCATAACATTGCAACTTGTAAATGGTGGTTTCCCTTTTTTTGGTGTTGAAAAAGCCATGAATCAAATGGTCAAAATGTATCTTTTAAGGAGCCCTGTTAAAACAATGGTTGGGTTCATACAATTCTTTGACAATAAGCATTGTCATCCGTGGGTCAACCTACGGGGGTAGCTGAACTCCGGGGAAAACTTACCTGGGGTTCCCCTTCCCTTACAAAAAAAACGATGGGCTCCGGCCGTGAGAGACTTTGTGACCACCTCCTGAAACCCCGCTGGAGGAAATCATTCTCATGTTGAGGGCGCTTCAAAGAAGAACCAACAGGACCCGAAGAGACCCAGAGGAAACCGGGGACTTGGTTCACCCACCAGAATGTTAGGTTGCAAGTGGGTCCAGGAAGACATTGTGAGTACCTAGAGTCGCTATGACCCTTTAAAAATGGGGTCATGACCCAATAGGGGGCCATGAACCCTTTTTCTACGGGTCAGAAGGAGACTCTGGCTAAAGACATCCCCAGCTTCGTGCTGATTGAGTATTGAATTGCAGCCCCACTGGGCGGCCAAAGAGACAATTTGTGGCCACCTTTAAAGTTTGTGCCTGACTTAACTCACTGATCGAGTGGATTGGCCAAACACATTGATGGCGCTGCCAATATGAAAGGACCTGGAACCTCAAACTGCTCTTGAAAATGGGGGTTCACCCCATAATTTTGGAGCGATGACCCATCAAAAGCATTACCCAAAAACTACAAAAACCCATAATAATAATAATAATAATACGAATAATCATAATAATTAATACTAAGTAAAACAATAATACTAATACCAATAATAAGAAAATATTACCAACACGAAAGATCGTCTCACCAACAAATACGCCTAAAAGCGGCATAAACCCAATATAAAAAATGAATCGTTGTTTAAACTATTATTTACCAAATTAATATTCACAATTCCTATAACATTCAGGGACCCGGAACTTCAGAATGGCCGTTTTGGGGCCCCGGTCGCTGGGTTCCTTGCTTTTTGCGACTTTTTGAGGCCCAAGGGTCACAAAGAATCCCCTGGAACACCCCTCAATCAAACACACACCGTTGGAGGGGAACACGGGCCCCACTTGACGTGTGAATCTTAGCAGGCTGTGGATGAACTCCGTTCGCACGAAATGAAGCCTTTGTTTGTTCGTGGACCCTCAAACTATCCATGAAACAAAAAACACCAACCATCCTTAATGGTTGCAACTCACCCCATGTTTAAGGGAACTCTGAGAGTCCCGGTTGGACTTTTATAGGGGGTATCACTATAGGGCATTCCATACAATTCCATCCATAGGGGGCCCAAGCTGGACATCAGGATTCGGGACATTCATGTCCCACAAGCTCGATCCAAAAAGCGGGCCGGGTTCCCGATTCCCGTATAAACACCACCGAAAAGGACACTCGCAAAAACACGGGCCTATGAATGTGATGTCAACAATGAAAAAGGAGAACTATGGGCTTGTCCTTTTTTGGGCCAACATACCTGGACCACCCTGAAGGGTACAAAGTTTAGTTCTTTCCGCGAAACGGCTAAAATTTGTACCTTCAGGGTATCCCAGGTAGCCCTGCTTTCCCTTTGGCTTCCCTCATAAGTTCCTCTTCTTGCACGTGGGTTCCCCTTCCCAGTCTCGTGAGATCTCACGTCTCACTCGATGCTCGCGAATTTGGACTCGCGAGCTCCTGCGATGTGCCAGGGCAAGACCAGGCCCCAGCTCAGGCCCTCCGTGCAGCGCCGCTTCGTGTTCAGCACCACCTGCGGCACCTCGAGCTTCCGATTCCGAGCTTCCGACGGTGGAGGACTCCAAAGAGGGGGGGAGGGGGAAAAAATGGTAAAAGGAGAATTCAAAGAATTATTCTTTCTACTATTTTTTCCAACAGCAACACAACAAACAGAAAACAAAAGCCAGAACAACAAGCAAACAAAATAAATAATCACAACCAACAACGAAAATATTTAATCACAGCATGCAACATTAAATAATTCAAACAAGCATACCAACAAAACAGCAACACTCTAAACCATCAAAGACACTCAACTCAAAAACGCACATCAACAAAAAACAAAGCAACATACCAACAAAAAATATCACAAGAGTATCAAACAAAATAAAAACAAACAGCCAAAGCACGAAAAAACTGAAGAAGCATACCAAGTCTAAACAACGCACGTTGAAAGAGATAAGCAAAATAGGAAAATATAATAATTCAATATTTACAAACGATGAGTATAATATAATTATAACATATAATATTTTACATGTGATAATTATCTTTCAATTAAGAATTAAGGATTTAAGATAACAGTCAGGCAATATGTCTTCAAATATGTAATCTACATATTTATCAATATCACCAATGTCTATATATTTGATATTGTCTTTTCCTATTATTGAATAAATATATTCCCAAAAGAATAAATACAGCAATAGACATACTTTATATTTAGTGTTGTAGTAATGCCATACATGATATTTAGTTATTCTAAATTCATTCAAGACCTTGTTTATTTTATCTTTGCTTAATTAATGCCAATCAATCTCTTCAAACAAATCACGAAATTATTTCGCAAATGATTTATATGGTTTAATGCTTAGTTCTCCTCCAAACCTTTTAATCAAATCTTTATTATTAAAAGACTCATCAATTTCTTTTTCAAATGACTCTCTATCAATTGTATGGTAAAAAAACATACAGGAAATCGTTTTTGATATCTCATAAATAATTTCAATTTTAATTGAAACTTTGTATATCCCTTATCCTTATATTCTTCAACAAACAACTTTTCAAGGTCTCTTGTTATACAGCATTGATTACAATATACATCATATTCACTTGTTTTATTACACAGATTAGCAGGCAATAAGTTATACAATGTAAAATTAATATCATTATTTTTATTGTTACAACATTCACACTTACTATAATTAAACAGTGCCATTGTTCCTCTTAATATATTAAGTCAATATTTCTTTAAGTCGTTTTCAAAGAATTTATTTTATAATGGCCGTAAGCAAGTGAGTTTATACTATCTATCCAATATTTTTGTTTTCATAACTACTAAGAGCATTTTTTTTAGTTGTTCTACTAAAAATTCTGTGGTTTTTACTTCTAATACTATTAAATGACTTATGTATAACCTCATTAGTTTTTAAAACCGTCTCAAACTCTTCATATTTCATTTGACGTCTTACTGTGCCTTTTGCTATGCCCTTACATTTCTTAGATGTTTTTATCATCACCATAAACTGAGTAAGCATAGCATTTAGGACGAAGGGCTATGAACCCTGTTATTATTTTACTTTTTAATTCATCCTTAAATTTACCTAATACTTTCTTGTTATTCTCATCATAACATTTATGTTCCTTAGGATAATCTGAAAAATCTAGTTATTTTTTTTAATTGTATTCAGGTCTTCATAAATGTCATTGGTTTTAGTATGAAATACAAAACTGTCAGTATCAGTATATACCATTTTAATATTATCTCCATATTTAGGCTTCATACCGTCATAATAAAATTTATACATGTGTTGCTTACTCAAATCTAAAATACTTATCCCAATAAATATAGGTTTGTCTAGTTTCAACTTTGTTTTTTGCTTTTCAACTCCAACCAAATTTTCATTAATGATATGACTATGTTTGAAGTTAGGATTACTTACACACTTCATATATCTAGTTTCATCACTAACAACTTCAAAGTCTAAATGTTTTCGCTTATCCTCCATTGTTTTTCCAAATATGGCATTGTTCATCAATTTATAAACATCTTTCTCAAAATCATTTCTAGCATTCTTCCTCTTCTCAGTGTTAAACTCAATGTACGGTTTTAAAACTTCTTTTTGTTCAAATTTAATTGCTCTATGAGTTTTCTTAAGTTTTAACCCTTGCTTCAAATAAAATTGTAAGGTTCTTATATGGATTACATATTTTTCTTTATCATTTAAATTCAATACTAAATTATTTGTTTTCTCATCCGTAGGTTTTTTATGATTTAAAAAATCATAAATTTCAATTTGTTTATCTGACAGCATGTTGGCTTTAACATTCGTAACCTCAGGTGCCATTGGATAGTCATTGTGTAAATCGTGTAATTCTTTAGGATAGTCTAAATCCACTTCTAGAATATCTCCAATATTATTATTTTTGTAATTAATAATGTCTTCTTCTTTTAATGTATCATCCCATTTTGAATTTTTATATGGCAGTTTTTGTATCATGCTTAGCCCATAAAGATTATTAGCGTCTAAATAATTGATATAACTGCTTTCTTTACTTTCATCATATTCTTCACCCATGTATTTGTTGTTTGCTTCAACTTTTTTAGTAGAAACCATACACATCCCTCCTCTAAGTCCTGCTTCTATCATGTCATACATTTCTTGGTCATATATTAAATCAATCTCTACACCAGTCATTTTAAGCATAGAATCAAAAGCAAAGTTAGGCAATGTATAATAATAAGCAGGGTCCAATCCATAATATTTCATACACACATCTCTAAAATTTTCGAAAATGTCAGTCAATAATAATACATCAGTTTTCAAATACAAATCATGGTATTCACCCATATTCTTAATGTCGAAATGCTTCCATATAATTTTTGCCCTTTCATAGTCGTTAACACTTATACCTTCTTCACTCAACTGACTATAAAAATCATCCTTACTCGGTAATTGCTCATCATCAAATTTATCAAATGAATTCATGTAGTCACAAGGATAAACACCTTTATCAGTTAACAAATCTAGACATTTCTCACTCTTAATCACATCATTTTTACTACTGAACCTAAAATTATCTTTCCAGTTTTCACGCAATCACCATTTACTTTTATCTTCTTCATCTGTATTATCATACTTACTCATTGAAACTAACTTATCTAATGAAGCAATTAAAAACCCAAAAGTGTCTTTAACACTCAAACTTTCAAACTGATATTAATAAATGTTTCACTGTTCTGAGCGATCACACCTATTTTATTGTTGTTACTTAATTTATCCGCATTTTGAATAATCAAATGACCATCATAATTGTTCATGTTATGGAAGAATACAGGAATTTTAAAATATCTATTACAAAAATTAAGATTGCAAACATTATGAGCACAACCTCTATACTTACCTGTAAAATGACAATGGTCTCTAACTTTTCTATATTTCTCTGCTTCCTTGGCATTCTTATAGTTCATTCTAAACTAATAAAGCAGTTTTGAGCATTTTTAAAATCTTCTTTGTCTTCATCAGTCATATCTATTTTTTTGTTTTCTCCCATTTTATTTTTTACTTCTGTCCTAATCTCATTAAGTTTTTGACAAAACACATCAACAGCATCTTTACCACGATACATAAATTCATAATTTGTATTATCAACAGCATTAACCATATTAAGCATAAAACCACATGGTTTATGCTCTTGATAAGAAAAAGTGTTTTTATCTTCATCTTCATCAGGTTTTTTCAGTTCCTCTGTCAAACATTCAAAATATACAACAAAAGGACATCTTAACTTTTTGAAGTGATGCTTAAAACTCACTTTCTCATAAGACTTAGGCAATACTATATGTTGTCCTTCAACTTCCATGCATCCACTAACATAATGTTTATTTAATAATTATTCATTTCTAAATCCATGATTACATTATTTACAAAAATAGGACTTACCATTATGATTACTTTTTTGATTATTAATAAGTCTGCTCAAACTTTTTATATACACATAATGACTGCAATCCTCATCATCAACTCTTAACAAATCAAAATGAAAAGAAGCATCAGTATTTTTCAATTTTCTACTAATAACAATTTGTTCATTATCATCAACTTCATAAACATTAATGGATATTGATTTATTATTTTCTTCAAATATATCTATATCATTATTATTAGCAGGAAAACTCACACCATCAAAAATCAAATCACTTTCTATCTTCTTGTAATGAAACATCTTTTCAGGGTGTGCTTTATCACAAATTTTACAATATCCACACTCAATAGAATATTTAAAACACTTGTCATCTTGATTTTTAATATTGATACATGCCTTTTTCTTTTTAATCCATTCTGGAAGTTCAATATATTTGCCAGCTCTAGTCGGATTATATTTATTATACATGATATGAATATTATTAATATTGCTAATTATTAATCCTGACTGATACAAAGCCATATCTAAAATTCTTGTTTCAACATCAGGTCTCATTCTTTTCAAAGCATTCCTTAAATCCTCTTCATTTACAATAGTGTACGACCTTGTCCTAACTGTTACGTTTCTCTCCTCATCAAATAAGTTCATAACTTTCATATTTATTGTAGCATTAAGTTTCATTCCTCTATTCTCTTTCAAGTATTCATTAAGTTTGTCAAATTGATAATTAAAATAAGTCAATCCGTTCAACTCTTTTAAATGAATGTTTGAAATTGTGTAGGCGTTAGCATATGCTCTAAAGGCGCTTCTTTCTTCTGTTATTACTGCTTTTTTCTTAATAGCATGTTTTAAAACCGTTCTTGCTCCTACTCTTTCTCTGATTTGATTTGCTTTGTAGTCATTAGTTTTCTTTACTGCTTCAAGTCTCTTACTCAATCTATTGCTCATTGCTTTTTCTGGATTATATCTATACTGTTGGTTGTTTCCTACAATTATGGTTTTAAGTTTTTTACCTTTATTATTTACTTTGTATTCTCCTAAATTTTCTTTAAGGAGATACTTAACTATTTTAGTGTTTTCATCTATCGGTAAATCTCTATTCATATTATTAGCTAT